AATCAACATGAAAAATTCATCCGCATTTATTTTTTGTGTGGAACACAAAAAATCAAATTTCAGTCTTATTTTACATTTTTTTCATTCTTAGGAATGTCTAAATTCAGTTAAACTAGCAATTCTGTATTGTATTTATAAATCTTTATAACATTATACAAAGATTTTTCTTAAAAACTGAAATTTTGCCGGGAATGGGGCTTTAAGAGTGAACAGTGTAGATAAAGCTAGAATTTAGGAAAAACAGAAATAATCCATAAAGAAGTTATTTATGAACATGTTTAAGGAGCCATTAAAAAAGAAATGTTGCTTTTGAAAATTAAAATTTTTTTTTTTTTTAGTTTGTATAAGATACAAGATAAATCACAGGGTATCTACAGTGTTTTGAATCTGTTCATGGTTGTATAAATGTTCATTGTCTTGAGCAAGAGATACGCACCTCAACATAATGGAACTATCCATTACTGGCGCGGAATCCAAAATTCTCTTCTATTTTAAATTTTGTACTTAGAAATTAATCGATTAAACCCATCAAATTTGATTAGTCAATTTCCTGTTATTTCTTATCATTTGCGAGTGACCGGCAGATTCTTATTTCTGTGTATTTCATTGGCGTGATCTTTCCTGATAACCTTTACATAACTATGATGCTGTAAACTAAAATACCGGTAATCACATACTGTGATTACAAGCTTTGCATGAACTCTTGTAATACATGATTGACAGCTGATAGATTTGATAAAATCGTTGACACAGATTGAATGAAGTTTTGACACAGTTTGGTAAAATTGTTAAACAAATTTTTAGCACTCATCAGACTTTTTTTTTAAACATGAATTAGGGTTACCAGTAAAATTAATTTTTACAATATTTTTTTTTTTTAGATATAATGTAGATGTTTATAATGATCAGTTCTTTTAATTTTTTTTTCAGGTTAAAATTAGTGATTTTGGTTTATCAAGAGCATTGGGTGTCGGGAAGAACTACTACCAAACTAATTACAACGTTAACCTTAAGTTGCCATTAGCCTGGTAGGTCATTTATTGTCAATGAGTATTTTTTAAAAACTGGAGAAAAAAGGGTGGAAAAATTTGTTAGTGTTACTATCATTGGATTAATATTTGTATTATTTTGTTTTTATCGCCATGTAGGCTATCCCCCGAAGCAATAAATGTCCTCAAGTTCACTCCTGCAAGCGATGTTTGGGGGTTTGGCGTCACATTATGGGAGATGCTGTCATATGGTTTCCAGCCTTGGGCAGCCTTGAATGGACAGCAGGTTAGTTAAAATGTTGTATGCCCAAAAGTTGTAATATGACATCAACATACCCATGTATAGTGTGTACTGAGCTATCTATCTGTTACATTTTGGTACTTATGATGCACTGCAAAATTTCTAACCCTAAATTTAGAATAATGTAAAAAAAAAAATGAAAATATCTCTAGGATGTAATGTGATATAATGTAGTTAAGTTTATATAGCGCTTTATACTGAAGTCTCAAAGCTCTCGAGGTGTGGAACTTGCTTCTCCCCAAGGGTCTCTTCATGTTTGAGCTACCCATTCTGCCATA